CTTGATAGTCCGGTTGAGTAAAATATCCTGTTTAGAGGACAATTTAAAAGTCCAATCAAAATCTCAGCCCACTAGGAAAATAGGATTCCTCTTAAGCAGTATATTATATAGAACCAAGAGCAAAAAAGAAATCACCCAAGGCCACTATTTACAAAACAATTTCCTAAATAAACAAGTATAGTAGCATAGTAGAAGCAAAACTATGATAATTTACTAACAATTAAAATAGCTTTTATTTGCTTTTGTGGAGGGAAAGCCAAAAAAAGTTTTTGGGGCGGTAGAGTTACCCATATTAAACCTCTTGCATACATAGTTTTTCACACTCCATTCCTGCTCTAATGACCAGCAATTTGCAAATGTTTAAATGTTATGCTGTAAAAAGCAACCATGTTCTTGAGTTTCACACCCCTTCGTTTTAGTAATTCTATTTTGATTCCTTTGACTAATTATCTAGGCTTGTCAAATTCAAGCTCCATTATACCATGTGCTGCATATACTTCAGGTTGCCTGAGAACATAAAAGTTTTGAGGACATGACACACCATTTTTGAAACTGACAGTGAAGTGACAATAGCATACGACACAATAAAGAAATGACAAGACATGTACATGGACAGGAAGATCTCACCATGCAAAATGACATGAAAAACGTTAATATATGTTCTAATTCAATAGATCAATATGAAAGAAGACCAAAATGCCATTGAAGCACCTCAAAGTAATGACTACAGCATAATAGTTAAGAAAAACAACTCTAAAAGTGATAAATCATCTACATCAACAACGTATTCAGAAATAATTTATTTAAAAAGAGTAACAAAATACAAACTGATGAATTAATATTGCCATTCCTGTAAGGTTACATGGTTACCTCCTGACTACGATTCACAACACCTATGTAACCAAGTCGAAGGGGAATCACTTTTCCAAGCAACAGGTTACGAGCATCAGTACCTCGATCCATTATATCCAACTGGTTCACATACAAAAAAGCCAAAACTAATCAGAAATTTAGAACAGCTTACATATAAGTCGTATCATAATCTGGAAAAGAGAATTTCAAGTTAAAATTTGCACCTTTGTGATTATGCCAATGGTTCTATAACCTGCCAGCATAAAATTAGCAAAATGATTCAATTAAATAAATATCAAACAGCAACTCAGTACAGATATTGGCATTTTGATAGTCAAAATTACCATCAGGATCAGCATTTCCTGCGATTTGAAGTGCATCAGAATTTGCTAAGTCTGAATTTGCTGGAGTTACAGCTAGAATCAGACAGCTTGGCTGTTTAATGTAAGACATGATCATTGTTCTAATTCGAGCTTCAATGTCAGAGGGCTGGTCACCCACAGGAACCTTTGTGATTCCAGGAAGATCCACAAGAGTGATATCAAGAACATTTGGCGAGAAAATCTTAAGTCGAATCTGCTTGTCTGACACACCTTTGTTTCCTCCAGCCTCCCTATCTGTCTCAGCCTGCAGTCAATTGAAATTTACTTAATGTAAGGACATTTTCATTTCTTTTAACTCCACAAATTACAAACATGCTTCCTTGATCTCATAAAAACTATTATAACTTGCAAGCAATAAAAGGGTAGAGTTTGTCAAAGAGCTTGGGGAAGAGAGAAGAAATATATCTGAGATCCTTAGCCAAGAACATCTAAATTAAGTGATTCTCTTTACTAGTTAAGTAACTATCTACCTAAACCCTAAAAACTTCAATGTAGTGAATTTCAGCGTCATTATCGCCTAAAGCCTAATTATTCCTTTTGGCAAGTTTTAAATTTCCCTAATCACAACTTATTGTGCATCTTAATTCTTTCACATATCATCTAATTAATCTCTTTCTTGCTTCAAAATTTATCTCACAATTTTAATAGTCCTTAAGCAACCAGTCAGCAAAAGAAAATTCAAAAATGCCTAACTTCATAAATACCCCATTATAAAAACCTTTTCAAATTGAATAATCAAAATGCCTAACTTTTGAACTTCTCAATCTTAAAAGCAAGCAATAAAGAACCTGAATCTCCCTGCGAATCTCAGAGAAATCATAGAAGCGCTTTCCAGGCAAGTGAAGAAACTCGCCATACTCCTCCTCAGAGCCATCAGGTTTACGCTTGGTCTGGAGGAGCTGAAGGACGAGAGGGCGGCGCGTGCAGATATCGGAACCGCGAGGCAAGAAGTCGCGGCCGACGAGTGACTCAAGCACGCTGGACTTGCCACTGCTCTGGCTTCCAACCACCGCCACCTGCGGCAACTCTATCGTAGACTGGCTCCCAAGCTGAGCAAAGATGTCCTGTAGCTTGTTTACTATCGGTATGACGGAAGATCCCAATGGAGCCGCAGATGATGGAGGCGTCGATGCCGCTGCTTCTTCAGCCATTGGCTTTACTGATTAATCAATCGATGAAAAAGATCAGAGATTTAGAAACGAAAAATCTGAAGAAACCCTAGGGTTTTGGATTTTTTTCCCGAAGCAGAGGACCTGGTTTTTTTTTTTTTTGGGTGTGTTCTGTGTTTTACTAGAAAGAAAAAGAGAGATCTTGAATTTTGATTGTTTGATTAAGGATTTTTGAAATTTATTTTGAGGATTTTTTTTAATTACTGTGGCATTTCTTTTATTTATACTATTCTTATGCTAGTTAGTGTACATATTTAAAACTACCACTAATCTCTACTCAGTGGTATTTGGCTAAGGATTGAACAAGTTTTGAAAATGAGATAATAATAAAAGATTATTTTTTAAAAAAATTAGCAAAAGATTATTTATTAGAAATAGCAAATTTCGGTACTTGAAACATGTCTTTCTGCACACTTAATAGATAAATCCACACAAAAGATTATTTTTTTAATTAAAGAAAGAAATTTAAATTTTATTTTTTAAAATAAAAAACTATATATAAATTAATAAATCAAATATTCAAATATTTATAAAAAAGTTAACAAAAAATAAATTGAACAAATTAACTCAGCTTGGTGTTGGGTGTGTGTCTTTTCACTTGCACCACACACTCGATCGTCGAAAACCGCTCTGAGAAATACAATGCAACTAAGTGCGGAAACTAGTCACACTGAATAAATGTTGTTCGGGAAATACAATGCGAAATAGTGAACACAAAGTGGGCCCGCACAAATCCCGAAATATCGGCTCTGACAGGAATGCGCCCGCCACCACCCGTCTGTGCTCCAGATGCGTGCTCGATGCTCCTGTGATCGCATACGTGCAATCCGCGATCACTTCCGACTTCCTGACGGCCCGAAATGCGCCTCGGAAGTCCGCTGTCCCGTATCTCCAAAACCGTGCGTCGGATGACGAAACCGATGTCGCCGTTGGAACCGCAGCGCGTCAAAACCCCCGGGGTAGCATCCCCGTCGAAATCCGGGTCGGTCGCCGGAGGTTGCCGGAATCCGGTCACCGGTCGTCTTCTCCGGGAACTGGTTTTCGGTCAAACTCGACCAAAACCAACGCGACCAGAACTGATGCGTTAGCCTCCTCCTTGCGGTGCTCTCCGCGCCAACCGTCGCTTGAAATACCTCCCGGATCGGTGAAACCGAGCTCTCCAAGTTTCGGTCGCCGGAATCCCGCCGTCCGGCAACACCACTGCCCAAGACCGGGCTCTCCAAGCTCGCCTCAACACGCCGTGCAAGGATCCGCAGGCTGTGAGAATCACCTCCCTCACCGGAGAGAGATCCGAGCCCTCCAAAGGTAGCCCTCTCCTCTCTCTCTCTCTTTGTTTCGATTTTCACCCGAGAGCTCCACACTCGCACGGACCCTTCACCAAAGTCAAAGAATGGTGGGGTTACGGTGCGTCATAAAATAACACTTGGTTCCCTCTCTATATAGAAATTAATTATGAATACCCCATTTCATATAATGACTTACGAACCTAAAATTAATCGGACTGTTAAAGCTAAAGATCATACTATCTTTGTCTAAAAATCATATGACCTGGTATCTTCTATTTGATATTTTAAAACCTTCATCAATTCTTGATGTTAATTATATCCAATTTTCTAATTTTTGGCTTTAATTTATGGGCTGCAATTTCCTACCTTAATAGATCTCAACTTAATATGCACGGGCTTAAGTTTTTCAAAAATATTTTTAATTTTTTTAATATAATTAACAATTTTTTTTTCACACAATATTATGTTGTGATTCTTTTGTTTCTATCAATTCTTTATGAATAAATTTTATTCTCACAATAGATTAAATCATTAATTCTGTCATGATTTATTGAGCAAATCATGCAACTCTTCTAGAGATAAAACTTATATACAATGTGTTAATTACAAAAAAAAAAAAGTTAAAATATTATGCGAAAAAAAAGGGTAAAAAAGTATAAATAAAAATTACTTTTTAAAAATTAAAGTAAAAAGAAAAAAGAACGAAAGAAACTAAATGCATGCCAGGAAGTGGATGCAAAGCAGTAATGAGCAAACATTTGTCTTTGTGATGTAACTGTGCCAAAGTCCGTTAGCTTGGGGGTGATATCCTGGACATTGAAATTGAGTGGGAATTCAGAATGCGGTTAAGTAATGATAACAATACCTAACAAACCAGCTGGTAGTTTTACTTGGTACACTTCCATTTGACAATAGAGGGATAAATCAACAAGATCCTTTCTGCTGCAATAAAATATTGGATTTCAGCCTCAAAATAAAAGGACCTATTCATGTGCCTTGCTTTACATTTTTATTTGAAAATATGATAAGCTTTAACATTTCTAGTGATAATAAGATAAAAAGGAATAAACAATTACAAGATGTGCATCACCTCGAACCGGCAGGAACTCAAATCATTAATACAGGGTTGACGCGAAATAGTTAGGCTGCGCAGTCCATGAACAAATCGAGCAGATTGTGGGTTTCTGTTTTGGGCTTTTGGCATAAGGTCCAAAGTTGACACCGGCCTTTGGATTTAAAGAAAGCGAGTCCAGTCGAATTCTGCCACGTGTTTGATATCAACCAATCTTGTTTACTGCCTTTACCCTTCTATATAAATGAACATTTCCAGGGATTTCGGGAAGTCTATAGTTTCCTTCGTAATCTAAACCCTCTCTCTGCAAAAACCTCTGAAACTTAACGCCGCTTCTATTCCAAATCACCAACATGCCTCGCCGGAGCTCTGGTTAGTTTCTTCTCTCATTTCTTTCAGATCTAATCTTACCCAAACTATTTATTTGCATCTTTGCCCAAGTTTATTTGTATTTATTTACCCACACCCAGCTTCACCTGTTTTCTAGGGTTAATTTTTATTCCTGGATTTAGGGTTATCTGGCCTGTATGATTTATTGGGGATTTTTTTTTAGTTTTGGTGCTTTGCATGATTCTCCTTGGTTTTTAAAAAGTGGGCTTGATAGATATTATAGAACAGTATTTGTTATCTCCTGTGATTCTTTTACCTTGTTGTTGGAACATTTCATTGTCATATCAATAAGTACCTTCTTGGGCGGTGCAAAGTATCGATGTTAGTCTATTTTTTAACTAGAGCTATGCCATTTTCCATTATTTGGGTGTTTATGGAATTTCTGTTCTGTTCACTTATGTTTCCCCTGTTGTTTTTCTTACTATTTTGCAGGAAGGTCTGCTTCTCGCCCAGCCCCTCGTGCTGCTCCTGCACGCAGCCCACCACCTCCACCAGGTAACTCACTCTTTATATTTTGTATATGGTTATGTAGCTTATAGATGAAAGTTACACGATTGAGTAACCTTGATATATGCCTTTTTTGATAAGAGATTGTTGGTTTAAAACTGTATTTAGTCAGTAGATATTTCTTTGATTGAGTGTCATGTTTTAATTCTATTCAATTTTTCGCTGCAGCTCAACGTGCTCCTCCTCCACCTCTGGCTCAGAGCGGAAGTGGTGGATCCATGCTTGGAGGCATAGGCTCTACCATAGCTCAGGGTATGTGAATGGATATCCTTCTGAGTTGGTAGACTATTTACGTTATATGTAACTGGTTGCTTTATCATGATGCATTTTTCTGATTTTGGCTAATTCTTTTCCTTTTTCTCCTTATTGTAGGCATGGCTTTTGGCACTGGAAGTGCTGTGGCTCACAGGGCTGTTGATGCTGTGATGGGTCCTCGTACTATTCAACATGAAACTGTGGTTACTGAGGCTGCAGCTGCGCCTGCAACAGCAGCCACCACAAATAGTCTTGCTGGCTCTGATGCATGCAGCATCCACTACAAGGCATTCCAAGACGTATGTGGACTTCAATTTCTGTTATTCAATTACTTGATGGTATAGTAGTTTGTGAAAATGTTGATAAGTTTTTTCATGCTATGGCTGACTGAAACTTTGTATGGAAAGCATGATTCCTTGATTCTAGCAGCTTAATCATCCTTTCTGGATTTACAGTCTACCTAATATCTTTTACCTGATTTGGAATGAATTTCACATATGGCCCTGGTTTCTTCATTAAGTAGTTAAAATCAGGGTTTTCTTTTAATTTATTTATCCTGAGTTGTTGCACTTGAGTAGATGCCTTTAGTACCTTAGGATGTTAGTTGCTGGTGTTTCTCCCTGAGTTCCCATTCATCATGTTGGTATGTATGATGCAGAACTCATGTGGAATATGTAGCAACATTACTCTAATGATATTCCATTCCTGTGTTTCTTGTAGTGCCTGAATAGTTATGGAACCGACATCAACAAGTGTCAGTTCTACATGGATATGTTGTCGGAGTGCAGGAAGAACTCAGGATCCATGATGGGTGCCTAGGCGCATTCTTTATTTGTTGCCATGCAGTGGAATGTCGGCTTTTGACTTCATTATTATTTATCTTTGTTTCTCTTCTGGTAATGATGATGATGAAGCTGAACTCTGTTCCTGGTTCAATAATCTCTATAAAATCCTCGAAGACTGAGTGATATTGTTCTCAATGTTTGAACCTTAATATTGTTGTTGAATCTCAACTACTATCCTTTCATTTATACTTTTATTGGATCAAATTAAATGCAATTGAAATTTGATGATGGTTTACTGTTGGAATTCTTGAGATGATGTCTTCTAGTTCAAATGCTATCCTACTCTCCCAGACACTGCCTACCCTCCTTGAGTCCTGGATTCCTCTTTTTCAAATTTTTTTGTTTGTTTTATACAGTTGAGAAAATGAGTTTGCCTAGTCCACGTGGAATTTGTCATCGTCCGTAGACACATGTATTTGTATTATGACTAACCATTGTACTCAGAAACAGTAGATTAGATTCTTAGAGCATCTTTGGCTTGTTTTTTTTTTTAAGCTTAAAAGTTATTATAAAATTTTTATGAAAAATAATAGTTTTTAAAATTAAATTAAAACTGTTTGATAAATTTTAAGTTTTTTTCTATTGATAAGTTGTTTGGTAAAGCAATTTATATAAATTTTAATTTTGACTAATATTATTATATAGGATATTTTATAAATTAAGTAAAAAAATGAAATCAAATTAAAAAAAGATGAATATGCAAAAAATAGTAATTTTTAAAAAATTAATTTGAAATTTATGACCAGTTAAACAAAATTGATATTATATACAAGGAAGAGAACTTAATGTGGTATTAATAATGGATCCAGATCACTTATTGATTTGGCAACTCATTTTTCTATTAAAATCATTAATGTTAATTTCATACAAATACAATGAACAAAAAAGTTTTGGCTTTTTATATTTTTTTTATTTTTTAATAGAATATTTATTTTGTCAAAGAGTCCTACATCATTGTGAAATTCACTATTAAGAAGTTAGGGATCTTGCAATTCCTGTTGCTAAAGGAATTAAAGTTTATTTCAAATTTTTTATAGTACAGTATATTGTTATACCTAAAAGTAAAAATTTTTTAAAATTAAATTATCACAAACGAGTACAAATATTAACGTTTCAAATTTTATCTAATTTATCTCAATAACCATTGACCTATTTGATTAATTATTTTAATCATAATCAATAAATATTATATAAAAAGTTAAGAATAAATAAACATCATATAATTGTCATATCAAATAATAAATTGAGAAATATTAAACAATAAAAAGTATTTTCAAAGCCAAAAATAAGATTGATAAAAAATAAAATGAAAAACAAAACAAAAAGAAAAAGAAATAATAATAACTTAATACAATTTTGAATTTTAATTTTTTTTTCTTTTAAATTTTATAACAATAAAAAAAACCTTAAAAGGATGGTTTGTAGAAAGGGGAGAAAAGAGAGAGATAGATAGGGAGAAGGGAGGAAGTATTTTCTGAGAGAGGATTTTTTAGAAAATAAAATAACTCTTTTAAGAAATTGATGTGTTTTTTTTTTTAAAATTCTATTTAAAGTTTTTTTAAATAATTTTTTTAAAAAATATTTTTTAAGAGTTTTTAATAAAATTCTGCTTCACTCAATTTTTTTTAAATAAATAAATTAAAAATAAATTAGGACAAACAGACATACAATGGATTCATAGGTTTAGGAGACCAATGAGTGGGATATTGCGTTCTCCTGCTTGCTTGGTAAAATTATCATGGTTGTTAAAGCGGGAAGAAGTGGTTTTAGGGCTTAGAGCAATTTGAAAATGCTTAGAATTTCACTAGTAAAAATCATAGCACAATGTGATTTGAGCAGAAGCAGAAGCAAATGTTTGTTGCTGTTTCTATAGGTTCCAAGGTGGTCGCACTGCCTAGCTCATAGAAGGGAACAAACTGTACGTAATTGGGCCGGCTGAGCATATGCCGAAAGAAAAGTGATGGAAGTTTTGCCTGTATTTGGGGCTTCGCCCCAATTGGTCAAATGCCTAAACAGCTTTCAACTAGGAGATCCATTAAATGAAAAATAAAATAGCAATAAAAAGTCAAAACACTGTACAGTACTATCCAAAGGAGGAATGAGATGTCAAACAGAACGTTCACATGAATTCTTCAATTCCATTTCTTGGGGTAACCCATCATCTCCACTTTGGCAATTGGCTGTATCTTGCGTGCGTAGTTTCCATCTTTGAGGATTTTCATTTTTCTTTTTTCCTTTTTAATTCAAGCTTTTCCTTTGTATTGAGTAAAGGTGTGAGCAACCGCTGCAACACGGATCCTTGTTTATTCCGTGTGCACTTAAATAATAAAAATACTGGTAGTACTTTAATTTCTTAGGCTTTTTCCAAGTCAAGAACTTGAGACAGCTCACAGCTGGTGCCTGCCTTTTGAAGTTTATGGTGGGATTAAATATAAAGTTGACAATGAAGTATGGAATTGTTAAATCCTGAAAATTTTATTAACCCGGAAAAGAAGACCACATCCAATTCCAACCTATACAGAGCTTTCACATGCTTAATGCAGCTGTGTTTTCTTGGCATTTCTCTGTGCTACCACAACCTCCCTAAACTTCCGTCAACCTCAACTTGCTTCTCAATAAAGAGTCCATATTTACAATTTCTTTTTGAAATTTTCCTAAACTTGTTAAAAAGGAAAATATTTCATCATAATCTACCCTTGAGGAAGCTGGTGCACAGTTTCTTCCAAGCGTCCTTATCAGGCTCCACTTTCCCCAGGTTTGCCTTCAACTCATCAGCATAAGAGTCCTACAATTTGTTATGAAACGTGTCAATAATATATTCTTAAATCTAAACCATTAAATCATCAGGATGATTACAGAAAGAGCTGGTAATTGATCAGAGATATAGACGTACCGCAATAAAACTGCGCTGCAGAAGACGGTCAATCAGGTGAAGCAGAATGTCTTTGGTGTACTCCGGGTGGCCTTGGATGCCCATCATATAGATCCCCTATCCTAAACATCTCCACCCCAGTCTTCTCAGACCATGCTATCACTTCTGCTTTTGATGGAAGTTCTCGAACCTAGCATTTTCAAAACAAATGAAAAAGAATAAAAAAATTAGCGATTTCTTTCTTTGTATGATTTGTTTACAAGTCCATTTTTGATGTAGACCAACCTCATCTCGGTGGCACTCGATCACGGAAAGAGTGGCTGGGATTTTCAGAGATGAGAAGAGCTTTGACGAGGATGATGACAAATGATGGTTGTCACTCCAATGTCCCAACCTGAGACGGCACGTCCCGTCTTTCCGCCCAGTGCACGACCAAGTATCTGATCAAACAAAAGCAAATTACATTTTTATGGAACAAGCAAACACTTTACTTTAGCTTTTCGTCTTTGAAAAAAGCAAAAGAAAAAAAAAACACGGCAATTTAAATAAACTTTTCTTCTTTTCATTAAAGCTAGATGACAATGAGGACAATCAAATTACGTGGCATGAACATAACATGGTATATGTTTGGCGGATTTGAATTCTTCTTTTTCCAGTAACTGAACAACATCCAATGGAGAACAACCCCTTATGGTCACTTTGCGTTAACAAATAAGCTGCTTTAGCGTAAGAGGAAGGTGTTTCCCAGCCTTATCCTACGCCAAAATGGGGGGCAATATGAGCCGCTTATTTCACTTTTCGGGATCGAACTAGGCACCATAATGCACAAAGTGACAAACATGGCAATGCAAACGATTTTGTGACCTATCAGAATCGCGCACAAGAATTAAGAAAAGGAGCAAAGGGTACACAATTCATGACCCGGCAACCAAAAAGAAAAAGAAAAAAAACAAAGTGACGTGGCAACCACGTGCATTTGCATAAGGTGGGGCTTGACTTTGCCGACAGCTTACATTGTCATCTGCCACGCATATATAGCAGGGAGTCCATTTGTCCACTAACATGGACATTGGACATCATACAAATATATTATTACGAAGTTCTGAAACATATAAAATACAAGTTATTGATTCACACCACATTCCAGAAACATCTCGGGGGAAGCAGGCAAATCCAATTTCATCCAAACAGAAAATCCAAAACCCCACACCATCAATTCCGCCAGCCTAGTAGTAATTCATCATTAAAGAAATAATAGCCAGTATATATTGAAAAGATGAAAACTCGAGGCTGAGAATGCCCAACCAGCATCTGAGTTGTCAGCATTATCAAGAATACTTTCAACTACATGTCAAAAGGAACAACACAAATTGCATCCAGAAAGAAGAAAAGAGTAACAGAAAAGGGCAAAACAAACTTGACCCATGCGCAATAAATGGCTCATAGCACAATAAAGTGCATGCTAACACATTTGCCTCCACAGCTAAGCTTTGGTCCCTTGTAAAATTAGAAGCGGACGATATTGAAAATGGCATTTGCATGTGAACAACAAAAGTAATAACTTCCCAAACTCACCTTACAATTTCACCCTTAAACTTAAAGACACATACATCTCTAGTCATGAATGCACCTTTTGTCAAAAAAGAAACTTAAAAACTTGGTTAAAACAAGAGCAGCAGATCGCATGTACTATAAAAGATAAAGAGGGTCCAAAACATTGATCGTCAGAGAATAGTAAGCCGTATGCAGAAATAAAGTAGCAGGAGGGGAAACATGCCGGACCAAAATCAGAGGTCGGATTTTGATCTCAGATCCAAAGCCGTGCAACTGTGACTGCCTCTAATAATAAAAATAAAAAAACATCAAAAGTGTACTTCACTTAATCACATCACAGTTCACAGAACCACCGTCAATAATGGACCACTCACATCTTAGTTTCTATACGAGCCGAGGGACCACATACCCTAAACTTTGAGTAAAGTATAAGATGAGATAATCGCGTTACATCAAAAACATGGCGGCTTTCCATCTATTTCTGCCATCGAAATAGGGTAAAATAGAAGAAGAAATACTAACATAGAAGAAAAGAAGAAAATTTTATCCCTGATGTGGACTTACAGCATTAGCAAGGAAAAGGTGCAGATTGATCACATAACTGATTCCAGCTAAGAGGTTCTCAAGTGCAAATTTAATGTATTAAAAGAATACCATCAGCTTTTTAATTGTATTCTTTTCCACCATTATTGACTTTCACCATTCACCAAATGCCGATTAAGATTTTAGTTGGAAGTTTCTGGTTAAATCATATATAAAAAAAAAACAGGAGAAAAACTTTTATTTTTTCTCCACAACAAAAACCAAACACATCCCTCTGATTCAGAAAAGCAAAGGACTTTTCCACCTTGTGAAACGTTTAAAAAGAATTACTAAGAAAGAACCCTGTAGCAGTAGTAGTAAAAAACCGACTCATTATATTTAATTACCTGGTGACCAAAGCAAATCCCGAGAACTTTTTTCTTGAGGGAATCCAACTTCTTCAAGAGAGCAATCAACTTACAGATCCAAACGTCATTCCCATGCGCATCATTGCAACTCCCAGTTATAACAAAGCCATCGTAGTCACCGATCTTATCTTCATCGGGAAAGTGACCGCTGGACACCCTGAAAACATCCCAAGTCTCCCCTTCCTCCGCCAGCATTTCCACGAAAACCCCATAATACCCTCCGTACCTCTTTTTAACATAATCAGAATCCTCAGCACACAGAAGAACAGCAAATCTCTGCTCACCACCCATGATCAAAATATCTTCCGTTTGTTTCGAACAAAAACTTATATATTTATATATATAATATATACAAATAATCTCCCTCTCTCCTAGACCCTTTAGAGAGAGAAAGTGATCAAACTTTGCTCCCTCTATTCTGCAAAGTGTGGGCTATTAGAGGGAGAGAGAGAGAGAGAGATGGGGGAATTGGAGGTTTACTGTTCTTCTGTCTTCTCTTGTAGTTGCTGTGGGAATGTAAAAGGTCACTTTATAAGACATGTTTCCAGGCGCATATTACGTGGCATGGTTAAAGAGGCGTACAAACCTAAATTACAAATATAGCCTCAATGAGGTGGCTTCCCGAATTTGCCCTTTTTCCTGGCCGCATTCATTAACTTCCTTGCTTGTTAGTTTTGTGAATCTACCAGCTTTAATTGCCCACAACTTTTAAACCATATTTCAACTCATGTCAAACAAACTCTCCACCTGTTTCCTTTTCCTTCCGATTTAAGTCTTTTTCATTAATTTCCTTTCCTTTTTATTCTTTTTTCCTTTTAAATTTTTTGCTTTTTTATTTTTAAATAACACTATTTTGTTCAACAATTTAACAATCCAATTACTTATAAATACTAAACTAACCAAACACTTTATTATTTTCTCGATTTTTTATAATACCATATCATCCCATAGGAGAAAAGTATGTAATCCTTCTGCTCCATTTAAAAATGGGGTGAGAATGCTCTTAAGAAAAGGAAGAAAAAAAAATTATTTCTTCATTTATCTCTTTTCCTTTTCAACCTTATAATTTATTTAGCTAAGCTTCATACCTCCACGTGATTATAAGTAAGAAATCTGGGTAAGGAAGGTACAATCCCACATTAATTGTTTTTTTCACAATAGAATAGAACCAGTTTCGATGATGGGATGTAAATTGAGGAAGTATATATTGAAATGGAATAACTGAAATTGCTTCTGGTAACTTACTTCTTATTTTATAGTGAAAAGATAATGTATTTTAATCAAAATCTGAGTCATTTCAGCAAACTATATATTCCCTCATCAATACAATATATAGAGTGGTCCAAAACAAAAAGTACCAAGGCATCGGAGAAAACTACAGAATAATAAAGATCTGACCTAATTTATCACGTTTTTTCCCCTGTAAACGAGAAACAAACAAGGCGATTGATTGACAGAGAAAGATTTGATAAAAAAAAAAAAATCGGAAAGCATATATGCCTAGTGTTTATACGAATACCTTCCAAATAAACTTGGACATTTCTCAAATAAATGTTTTAAGAAAAAGGTAGTGGGTCATTCAGAAAAAATAATAATAAATGAAAGAGTGAGGAGAGAATTTAAGTTTTTATATTAAAATGGAATGGTTAATAGAGTTTAATGAAAGATCAATAATATGAAACAAAAATTAATTAAGAAAACTGATTTTTTGAACCATGCATGTTTTATTTAAATTTATAATAAAAATATTAAAATTATTTAAAAAGTTGTACATGTTACTTTACCCTTTATTTACGCAACAAAGTTTTTTTTTTTTCCATCGATTTGATTTTTCAAATTTCAGAATGTAGTCTTGCTTGGTATGTTGCCATATAAGTTGCAAGATTAAAAGACATATTCTCGTTCAGCATGATAATTCATAAATCCTAATTAATGTGTCTTTTATACTAACAATAATTTGCAAGTGGTTGGAGACAGTAAAAATGAGCTAAACTCTTTGATGGCTAATTAATCTCCATTATTTATTCGGTCAGAGAATTAATTACTTAACCGCATTTCAAATCTTAAAGCGCAAGTTATATACATCACACACCAACTCAATTGTCAGTTGAAACCTCCATTAAAGATATAGTCTATATTAAAAGCAATTGCATTCAATTATCGGATTAATTTTGATTCGGTTCTATATTTAGTTACAATAAAGTTTTTAAAGAATAATATTCTTTTAATTGATTTGAATGGCCTTTGGTGATATACCATCTTAAATATCTGGGGATCTTCTTCTGTGATAGCTCACAACATTAGGAATTTAAGTGAGTAATATGTAATCAAGGCTTTGGCTTCAAATGATTTGACATGTTAACAACTTACCCAATACCCATCTTAATTTTCGGTTCATTATTATTTTTTTTTCTTTTTCCCTTGGATGATAAAATTTGGTATTTTTGTAATTATCAAAAAAACAAAATGTAGTGCAACTTAATCTAGGGAAATATATTCGTAATTCTCTTTATTTTTTTTTTGTTTTTATTTACTTTTGACCGGACAGTCAGTCTGATTACGCCTCTGATTAATTTACCTGCGTGATTCGTACGTGGGACAGCGAAGTATCACGTGATTTTCTTTCATCTGACAAAGCCACAGGTGCACAACTCACCGAATGGGATCATTGCACGTGTACCGATGACATCTCTCACCGGGTAATTAATAAGGATTCAAAAGTGTTTTTCAACACCTGACCTGGTGCTGACTTCTTGAGTCAAAGAGTCAAGTCCAGTTTCTAACCAAGGTCACAATTGCGCATCGGCTACAATTCCCTTATTTTGCAAAACAGAAAGTACTGTTTTTATTTATTTTATATTATTTTTAATTCAAAAAAGGGAAATTTAGATTTAATTTTGATTAAAAAATTTAATTATTTATCATTAAATTAAATATTTAAATGTAGAATACTAATTATATCTTATAAATTAAGATATATGATTTTCACTTGATAAACCAAAAAAAAATATATACATACAATTTTTCATATAAAAGAAAAATATATAGAATTTTAAGACATTAAAAAAGAAAAAAATAGTATTGTTCCATTCAAATATTTGATTAATTAATTAGTCAAAGATTTTCATTTAAAAAAATAGAGTTTAAATCCTTCTTCTCAAGATATATAAAAAAATAATTTTTTTCTTTTTATATTTAATAAAAATGTTGTTTATTAGTTTTTTTTTTTGATAAACAGAGATTTGTTTGCTATAAATTAAAATATGCATATTGAGAAAATTGTAGATGCAAAGTCCTCTCTTCTCCTTAATCAACAATCACAAAAGCATAGACATATATAT